ATTAATTTATAAAATATGATCCTTCTTTTTTGGAGTAGTGTCATATTTGACAGTAACAGTATTGCAAGTCCCAGTTTGTACAGGTCAATGTGACCTTATTTGAATTGGACCAAAAGTGAGAAGAGAATCCTTAATCATTATCTATTTCATAAGTTTTACTTTAAATGGTATTGGTTTACAATTCAGCCTGCATACAATRTAGTAGGCACTTTAAAACTACAGTCCATTATGTTCTATTATATAATATGTATCTGTGTAACCTGTTGGTCATAACCTATTCTTCTTTTAGAAACATTAAAGGATTCATGATCCAAACAGGAGATCCATCAGGTTTGTACTGTATATCATTATACCTTTAGAGTTAAAGTATTTTCATATTTCTACAGGTTTTGGCTTTTTTCAGCCACAATCATGACCAAAATTCCAAGACTGATTTAGACCACAGTATTGTAGAAGGGGGTAGAGGTAGGGGGAGTTTTGGTAATGTATCTAGTGTAAAAAGTACTTTGTCAGAAAAAAAAACAATTGTAGCAACAATTTTGGCAACAATATTGTAGGTCATTGATGCCAAAATATTTGTTTAATTGCAGGTACAGGCAAGGGAGGACAAAGCATATGGGGTAGAAAGTTTGAAGATGAGTTGAGTCCATCTCTAAGGGTAGGTCAGTTTAGAGCATTGATCACAGTACCATGGAGGTATTGACCATGGCCATGATGCATGTGTTCACAAAAGCTTTAGTCTTGAATTCTCAATCCTAACCTGTCATAAGAATCTTTTTAAAGATTAAAATTAAATTTTCAATCCTAAGGTCATTACAATATCAGTCTTTAATTCTCAATATCCTAAGGTCATTATAACAACCCTAGAAAGCAAAATGCACTCATTTTTAAATAAAAGGCTTAGGGTAACATTTTAACAAGAATGCATAAACAGGAACATATTTCTAGCTTCAGAACCCCTAAGTGGATTATTAGATATATGTGTTAATCAAGGTTTTCATATTGCATGTAGATTACATTTATTTCAACTGCTTTTTTACTACATTTTACTCAATTAGCACAATGCAAGAGGTACAATTTCAATGGCTAATAGTGGTCCAAACACCAATGGTTCACAGTTTTTCATCACATATGGAAAACAGCCTCATTTAGACATGAAGTACACAGTTTTTGGAAAGTAAGACTGCTCTGTATAATATATTACAATATAGAGGTGTAACCTCTATAATATGCTGATTGAGACAATGAGCCCTGACAGGTAAATAGGCCAACAGACTACTATCAGTCAAATAAACCATTAGTAAGAGTAGTTTCCTGATGTACCTAAAAATTAATTTACAAAGCTTTCGCTGTTGTGTCACAGCATGGGTCAATCACAACAGAGCTAGGCTCCAAACTTAGTGAAAGCCCAAAGATCGAATTAGAATTTAGAAGTTGATTTTTGAGGAGGGAGGAAAACCGGAGAACCTGGAGAAAAACCCTTGAAGCACAGGAGAGAACCAACAAACAACTCTACTCACATACAACATCGAGATCGACAGGACTCGAACTCAGGCTGCATTGGTGAGAGGCGTTGCATTGGCAGCGCATGCCACTGGTGCTTCCCATAATTAGTCTAACAATTCAATTGATTGACAGTAGTCTATTAACCAATTTCCATGTTGTAGCCGTTGTCTCAATCAGTGCAAAGCAATGTTAAATTGAAAAGGACTCCAAGACTGGAAAGTAACTGCAATATGTGGGAGGGAGGTCAGGTGTGATGTACCTAAAATAGAGTGCTAATCCTGGGCAGAAAATAGTTGGAAAAATATGATTGCTTTATTTGCAGTGGATATAAATTATGAAAAGCATATTCAGAGGAGCTGCATTTGAGAGCCGTTTGGCATGAACATTCCATTGTTCATGACAACCTGCATTTTATTCTTCCCACGTCAACATTTATACGATCTAGGTTTTGAACCCACAACAATGATTTTGCAATTGAGTTTACCCTGTTGGGCAATGTATATCTGAACTATGACTTGTTGATGAACATTATTGCTGAAAAAACCTATTATCAATATCAATAATAGACGTGGAAATAATTAATCTATAGTATTATTGTTACATCTTTAGGCTTATTGATGGTCTAGAAACCTTGGATGACCTGGAAAAATTACCTGTTAATGAAAAGACACGCAGACCTTTAAGTGAAGTCAGGTTAAAATCAGTCACAATACATGCTAATCCTATTGCTGACCAAGCCGCATAGAAGATATACATCATTTATATTACTAACTTGACGTAAAGAATGACATTCTGAGTCATTTGTTTCAGTAATCTGCAAGTCTCATACCTAACCAGTCGGTAGATTGGCGGCAGCAAGACCAAATTTCAGTGTGCAGCTCTCAGCTACATACCCGGGGGGGTACTTGTTGTAGTCGCTCAGATCGTGTAGAATCAAGATGTTTATTTCAAGCCACTGTTATAACTACTCAAGTACAATAAGTAGTGTCTATGATTATATA